ATTCCCATTCATTGGTGTCTAATTATATTGTTTAAGTGTGTAGGATAAAAATGTATGCCATTAATTAGTTAATAATTCAAAAGACAATATCAAAACTCATGAGAATAAGGAGTTATAAGCGAGCAAATGAAATGAGAAACCTCTAAGTTAAATAATCAAGGGAGTTGGTTGGATAAAACTCAAAAGAGAAGCTAGCGGGCTCAAGCAAATCGTGAAACAGAGAGCACTTAGTCGACCAAGAGACAGAGTTAGTCGATTAAGAGCTTACTGTCAGAAACTGGGTTCAGAGACAGAAACGACCCAATCGACTAAGAAAGTTTGTTAGTCAACTAAGAAGGTATTGCCAGAAATGCTCAAAGACATAGCCTATTGCCAGAAACTAAGTTCAGAGATAGACACAACTTAGTCGACTAAGGGATATTGATTAGTCGACTAAGAGCATTCTGTCTGGCAGTTTGAACTGACGTTAAAAGATAAAATAACAGGCAGAATTGCTCCCAAACTATTTTCAACAGTCAGAATCTGTTCAGCTGCCAGCAGAGTTGATTTTTCAAGTATAAAAACACCTTTCAACAATTAAAAATTAGATTTGAAGGATTCCAAGATCAAAAATAGCTTAGAAATCTCAAGTACACTTTGCATATTTTCTGCACTTCACTTCAATCTTTGTAACAGAGTTAAGAACTTCATCTTGTACCATCAGATTAGGTTAGTGATCATTGGTACCTCTTTATTTCTCTTCTCCTTGATTGCTTAGAGTGTACGAGACACTCTAAGGGGATTAATCAAGCATGGGTTAGCTTGATTGAGTGTATAGGTTCTAACTAAGCCTAAAAAAGTTAATTTTTGGATTTTGGTTGATCTCGGGAAAAACCATTATTGAAGGTTGTGGTAGAGCCTTTGAAAAGCCATTGTTAAAGGTCATGGTTGAGCCTTTGAAAAATCATTGTTGAAGGTTGTGGTTGAGCTTATGAAAAACCATTGTAAAAGCTTGGTTAAAGCTTGAAAATTTCACCATTCATAGTGATTTGATTTGAAAAATCCTTGGTTGAACAATGAAGGTAGTGGATGTAGGTCTTTGACCGAACCACTATAAATCTTTGTGTTTTGTATTTGCTGCTTTATTCTTGATTTCATTCCTTGTTAGATTATTTCTTATCTTGCATTTAACTTCCCATCATTGAAGTTAAAATTGCCCCCACAAATAGAGCTTAAATCTTGTAAGAGCTAAAAAGTGCTATTCACCTCCCCTCTAGCACATTTACTTAGAATCAACAAGTGGTATCAGAGCCTAATCCTCATTTTTAAGGCTTAACATCCTTAGGAAAGATCTAAATAGCTCTAAAAAAATCTATTGATGCTAAAGGTCAATGCATAAATATGCCTCCTCAATTTGATGGATCAAACTATACTTATTGGAATACTAGAATGTCCATTTATGTTAGGACTTATGACTATGAGATATGAGATGTCATTACTAATGGTCTTTTCATTCATATGATCACAAATTCTGTAAATGGTGAGAAAACTCTCAAATATAGAAATAAGTGGACAAAAGCTGAAATGAAGACAACACAAATCAACTCTAAGGTCATGCACACTCTCATTTGTGCCCTTGAT